ATTTTGACAACCTTGCACACAACAACCAAAAGAATGATTCTTGGGGAAGTAGAAGATCTCACTCGATCATAGTTAGAATAAGCGATGATATGTGCATGTAGTGTTCTTATAGAAGGTAGTTTAATTTGGTGCATTCATCCTCTTTGAGTCACCCACATGTGATCTATGATTTCGTGAGAAGTTTTGCTACCCAACAAAGTATCACATATGTTAATCTTTATATCATTGATGTCTCATCTCAATAATACATTCAAGAATTACAGTGCCCTAGAATCATGGTCCTTCTTTTGGAAGGTCTAGATGTGACCCCTCTAATCACATAACACCCACTGCTTCAAGATAATGATATTTAGTGTTTTTGTTATGTTCATGTGTAGTACACATGATTGCAATATAAACATTCATGCTAATTTCACTACATATTTTGTATAAATATTATGATTTAATTATAAATGTGTGGTGTTAGTGTTGATAACTATATATAATATTAAGGAAAATGATTTAGGGACAACTTTTTTGTATCATCAATTTTTCGTATAACCTTACATGTCACTGACTTTTTATTCATTTTGGAGTCATGATATTGAATACATTAATTTTAATAGTGATATTTTTTATATTAATTTTAGGATTTGACTATTCATAGTTTTAAGTTCTAAATAGAAAACTTATGATTTTTAAGTTAAGAAAATTATGAAATTTTAAATCTAATATTTAAAATAAGGAAATGATCGATATACTCTTCGATTCAACACTCTCCAAAATACTAATTAGTTTAGTCATTAAAATCTATAATTTTTAGTTTTCTCACCTTTAATTTAAATTTGAAAATAATAATTTTTTAATGAATACATTGTAAGTGCATCGAACCAGAGAGTATACAAAAAAATTTTCTTAGAATAAATATAGATTAAAAGAAAGAAAATTTAAAAGTAGAACAAATCAAATGACAAATAAAAATTAAAAACAAAATATAATTGACAACTACCATTTTTGTCGGTTATGTTACATATAATCAACAGATGACTGACAAATTATTTTGTTGTTATATTTCTTACCTTCCATTACAATGAACATATTAAATTTTGCAGTCTATTAAAGTTTGAAGTATAACTGACAACTTATTGTAGTATAACCAATCATTTTTCTATTGATTATAAATTCCATATAAATACACAAAGCTAACAATAATTTGCTCATTTCTTCTCTTCTTCTCTCCTAGCTCTCCTTACCTGCTTCCCTTCCTAGCAAATCCATGCACCCCTTCTTCTTCTCTTCTTCATTTTTGTTTTTCCCTCTACTCCCTTTCTTCTTTCTTTCTCTTCTCCCTTTCTTCCCCAGTTCCTTTCTTTTTACCTTTCTTCTTTCAAACAAATTTACACATAAAACATATCATCTCAAGGTATTCTTTCTATTTTTGGTTTTCAATTCCATTTGTTCTTATAACATCAAATTAGTTTACAAGTCTTTTTTTTTCTACAGATTATTAACATTTACATTTTTTTAAAGTTCTTTTTTTTTTTATTATTTATCATTTCCTTTTTGTTTCTATAAAATCTTATAATTTATTTTATTTTACCAACAAATAATGTTTTTTTTTCAAAATTTTTACACTCAAATTAATTCATTATAAGTAAATTCAAATTTATTATTTTTACTTGAATGATTTCTTTTAAATTTCATTTTTAAATAATATTTGTTAGAAAGTTGATTTTCATCAAATGGTTAATATATATATATATATATTGTGGTGACACTTCATTCATTTTATAATAGAATTTTCTTTAATTATTTTATAATTCAATTAATAAATCCAAAAGTACTCTTTGACAATTGTAATGCATCTGACCAACAAACAAATGGTAGATTATGTTATATAACCAACAAATATGTCTAATGATTAAACTAACCTAAATTTTTTAAATAATCATTTTTTAAAATTGATTAAATAAAAAATCATTATATATAATCAATAGAATACTTTTCTTGTCAATTATATTAGTTATTATTGCTTTTTATTTCCACCATTGATTAAAGAAATCTCATTTATAACCGACAAAACTTGGTCGTCATGAAAATATTTTTTATTATTAGAATCGTTTGTTGGTAACTTGTGTAATCAACAGTCGAGCTATTAGTTAAACCAAATCGACAAAATTTTTGGTCGATATATCTATATATATATATGTATATATATCCAACTCATGTTTATTCGGTAAGTCTAGCGTGGGATTTTTTTTTTTTTTTTTTTTGTTAAACTTTTAACCAAAAAAAACTCAAGTATAACTATCAAATTGAAATTTTGTATGCCAATATATGCATATGAGAGTAGTGCATATTAATCTTAATTTCTATAAAAAAAATTAGAGTCCCAACGTCAAAAACATCAACTTCTAATAAATATTTTCAAAACCCAATTATTGGATTTAGTATTCCATTAATATGGATTATGCATACTAATTTCCAGGTTGATTGAATATATTTAACTAATTTATTTATTATACAAAATTTAACACTATTGAATAATTATAGATGTTAGATTAAGTTAAAAATCCACATATATGATCTATATTAATATTTGTGAAAATATTCATTGAAGGATGGTGCTTTTGTAGTTAGAATTTTAATTTTTTAATTAAAGTAAAAACTGACATGCATGGTTCTCTCTCTCACTACATATATATATATATCATATATATTTTGTGTAAGTGTAATGTATAAAACTTGTGAGAGAGTATATATGAGGAGGGATTTATTCTCTCACTAGTTTTACACATCACACTTACACGAAATCTTAACCATTCATCTTTTTACTTTCAATAGTTGAAATTTATCATAACTTTTTAAGTAAAAAAAGATTATTATTTGTAATAAAAGTGAAGAGCTAAATTGTTGATATTTTGTGTAAATATGGTATGTAAAATTTGTGTAAGTGAATCCCTACTCTATGTGTATGTGTAAGTGGATCCCTACTTTGTGTAAGTGAATCCTTATTTTGTGTAAGTGCATCCCTATTCTCTCTCTCTCTCTCTCTATATATATATATTTTGTGTGTGTGTGTCTCTCTTCTCTCTCTTTTTTTTTCTCTCTCTCTCTCTATATATATCTTATGTGTAAGTGGATCCCAACTATATATATATATAGTTGGGATCCACTTACACATAAGTTTTGCATATCATATTTACATAAAATCATCATCATTCATCTTTTCATTTTTAATAATTGAGATTTATTCATTTTTTATCTAAAAAATCATAAATCTCTATTATTAATAGTGAATAGATGAATAGTCAAGATTTTATATAAATATAATGTGTAAAACTGGCGTGTAAATGAATCCTTACTCATATATATTTTATATTTATAGATAGTGCAATAATGGTGAAAAGGGTATTTTAACCCATGTACTTTTTGATATTGTTGAGATTAACCTCGCAACTTTTTTTTGTAATATTTGAATCCCATCACTTATATATTGAAATAAATTAATACACTTACTTTTCGATTGAAATAAATTAGTCAAAATCTAACGTATGACGTCATGAAACATTAGTTTAAAGTGAAACCCATTTTTCTACGGCTAATACATTGCTGACTTGAGGCATGTGGGACTCATTTTGTGACTTGGGTTTATGTGGATTACCTTTTTTTTATGACATGGCCCCTGATCGCTGACATGGCCCCTTTTATTTCCCTAAAAACTCATCTGCTCCAAAGCTTAAAATTTAGCATCTAGGTTTTTGTCCTCTGTGAAATCCATCTTCATTGTCGATAGCCATTTGATGATTGTCTGATTTGCAAATACTGACATCATGTCACCAACCAAACCCAAACCAACACACCCAAATCGCCTTCCAATTTTACCAACGTCTTATGTTGTCCGTGAACCCTAACCCTGCTCATTAGTTTTACTTCTTTGATCCTTATGAACTCCTAGTCTCACTCCTCCGTCGCCTTCCAATTTGCCACCGTCTATTGCTACTGCCACATCTGCTAATGTCGGAAGTACCAACTCCCCTATTGATGACCTGAGTAAGAAGATCTAGAAGCCATATGCCATTACCAAATCTAGAGAGAACTAGACTAACCAGGAGCACGACAAGTTTTTAGAAGCTTTGCAGCAGTGAGTATTTTTTGTTTCTTTCATTAAATTCAACTTCTTTGGGCTCACGGCAATGGTAATTGAAGGACTTTTTTTTTTTTGCTATAATGAATTTAAGGTGAATTAGGTGAGAGAAGGAAATCATTAGATTTTGGATGGAGTTTCTTTCTGTTTTGTTAAATGTGAAGTTTCTTTCTTTTTGTGTAAACATGAATCTATCTGCAACCAAATTGGAAATTAGGTTTGTGAAATCAAATTGGAGTGCCATTTTGAAGAATAAATCTGGCGATGAGAGTGAAACCAGTCAACTTCTTAAGAGCATTATTCGGCGACGATTATTATATGTGTAGATTTCAGGTAACATATGATTCTTCATCTTCTCATATTGACATTTTGAAGGCCAAAATCGATTTCACAGAGGACAAAAACCTGGATCCCCAATTTTAAGCTTGGGAGCAAGTGAGTTTTTGGGGAAAGAAAAGTGGCCATGTTAGCGATCAGGGGCCATGTCATCAAAAAAAAGTAATCCACATCAACCCAAGTCACAAAATGGGTCCCACATGCCCCAAGTCATCAATGTATTAATCGTAGAAAAATGGGTTTCACGGTAAACTGACGTTTCATGACATCATATGTTAGATTTTGACTAATTTATTTTAATCGAAAAGTAAGTGTATTAATTTATTTCAATATATAAGTGACAAGGTTCAAATATAATAGAAAAAAGTTACGGGGTTAATCTCAATAATATCGAAAAGTACATGGGTTAAAATTTTACATTTATGACTATCTGTATTCTAATAGATTATATTGGAAATATACTATACTTTAAGAACATAAAAATGTAATGGTGATCATATTGATGCTATGAATGAAAATGGAACAAAAAACCTTTATATCACATCTTTTATATATGGCCAAAAAGTACATATTTAAAAAAAAAAAGTATTTTTCTTCTAAATTATAAATGAATGCATAAATGTAATAAGATCAAATATTAAGACTAACTAAAAATTAGTTGATTCTAAATCATTTCTATCTTTTGGCTTAATTGATTTAGCCATTTGAGTGCAATAACAATACAAAGAATAGTTAAAAATTAATATGGTCCCATTAAAGAACTTGATGCTTATTGAATCAAGTAATTTTTGTGTGTTATATTCCCTTGGTAATATTATTACCAAGTCTTCTACAAATGAAATTAGAAAATGATTTGCTTTATTATTATATTAAATTCAAGGTGATGTTTGTTGACTTAAAACTCCACCATCTATATTATTTTGATATATTATGACATGAATGTATGCTTTGATAACATCATAATTCCTTAGTCAACAAGTAATGTTGCATTAAGAATATATTTTTTTGAACTACACAATTGAAAATTCTAGCATAATAACACAAAGGAATTTACATCTCATAAAATATTATGAGTTTATATTGGTTTTAAATAGGCATATATTATTGGATATCTTAAATAATTAATTGATGATATTTTGTCCAACAGAATTTGTTCATTGTTAATCTAAAAAAATCATGTTTTTAACATCAAAGAGAGAGGAATAAATATTGAAAAAATAAGAGATAAGTTAAGATGCATCATTTAAAATCTTAAAACAAGTTGGTATGGATGGGAATTTCAAAATTTTGTATTATCAATTGTCGAATCTCAAATATATCTATTGATGCAATAAAAATAAATAAATTACATATCCAAGTTTTAGTTACTTTTGCATGTATTGATATTTTCTATTAGAAAATTTGTTAAAGTACTAAGAAATGAGTATATTATGTGCACACTAAAAGTGTGTTGAAGAATTAGTTCTAAAGATAAAATTCTAAAGGGTTTGTCTAACCCCTACCCCAAGGGTTAAGGATGCAATAAATACATCTTTTATAAGTAATTTATATAAAAATTTATGAAAGTTGATATATATTTTAACACCATTGATATGTAGATTACTTTAATTAGTTAATTGATTAAATCAAAATCAATATTTACACTTTTAATGAAAATTAATTAAAAAATGTATTTATTGCATCCTTAACCTATGCTTTAAGATCATAGAATAAGAAAATTCAAATCCAAAAATAAAGAGAAAGCATAAATAGAATGTTAATATTGTTGATATCTTAAATACTCTTGAAGAGTTCTTAAGGAAATAACTCTAGAAAAAGTTTAGATATCTAAAAACAATTAGAGTGTTGAAATTATAAAAAATGTTGAGATCTTTATAAATTATGATTCTCCCAAATAAGGATGGAATCAAAATGAAATAATTATATTAATATTTTAACATATGCAATAGTGAATAATATAGTCAATGAAAAATATGATCTTGGATCAAAATACATTAAAAATTGTTGATAAAAATATAATTAGCTAATTTAACAAGAAACATTGTAAGTATATAAGTTAAAATCATGAGCATAATATGAAGTTTTTTTTATCCAAAGTCCATACATCTAATAATATAAGTTAATAGCTAGGTTACGAGTGATATTTGTAAGGATTTATATTGAATACAAAGTAATTAATATTCGTAGTTTAAAAATTTAGACAAAACTTAAAATTGAATGTAAAGCAATATTCTCTTATGGTTATTATTGTCTATATTTATTAAAAGTTTTTGAAAGACTTCAAATTCATTTATAATGTTGTAACATTTGAATACATGATAATTATATTTGTATAAAAGTTGTTATACGACAAAAGAAGACTATAACTTAGTATCCCTAAAGCATATGAATCCTAAAACTCATGTTTGAAGCATAAAATGAAGTTTCAAACGCCTAAGCATATAGCTCAAAACTATGAGCATTATTTTTGTATCAATTGATGTAAAAGAATAGATATGCTACAATTATCATAATGAATGCCTTAAAAATGAAAAGTTTGAAAACTACTACATTATTCCATATATTTTTGCTAAGAGAATAAAAATGAGATTTTTTACTGTTGCAGAATGTATTAATGATTTAAGTATCATTAGAACTCTTGAAAATTTTGGATAAAATGATAGCATGTTTTAAAAAGTGATTATGAAATGAAAATTTTCAAAAAAATAAAATTTTGATTCGACCTATGAATGGAGTAGTTATTAACTTTGATTTTTGTCATTAATCAAATTATGAATGACAAATGTTGGAGTGCTTTAACATTAATAAAGCCCATGCTTTGAGTTCATCAATAGTGGTTTGATCCCTTGATATAATGGATGATACTTTTTATCCTTGAAAGGATGAATTTTGGTTATGAAGTACCATATTTTATTGCAATTAATGCATTAATATATCTTGCTAAAAATAAATATGATATAACATTTTTTAAAAATTTATTGACAAAATTTTGCTATACATTCACTTGAATATAAAAATCATATGGCATTTTTTAAAAATTTACTGGTCAAATTTTGCTATATGTTCACTTGAATTTATTAGAGTGAAATTAAACAAATATATTCTTATCTTTAAAAGACAAATGTTTTATGTTGTTATATTTAGGCACTCAAAATTCAAATTAATTGAATAGGAGAATTATGGATATTTCTATTATCCACATAAAAAATAATTATAAATATAGTATTTACGCACATGTATTAATATTACTATTGTAAACAATTCAAGAATATTTGTGCTCTTTAAGAATGTTTGTACAACATATTTTAGATCTAACATATGCAATAAGAATATGGCCATCTTGTGCAACGATAATGGTCAAGCATTTTATAATTAAATAAGATAGAATAATGCAAATTTCACTAAAGTTTTTTTTTACATACGAACCCCTAAGAGAAATGAAATAATCATCCATCAAATTTATTTGGGTGAGAATCTAGTAGATTATCTTTACAAAATCATTAACAATTAGAAATTTTAAGGAATTGAGACATAAGATTGGCATGCATTGCTTAATTAAACATGTTCATTAAATTGATGGAGAATATTATGTGTACTACACTTTTTTCCCCTTCACAATTTTTTTTTTTTTCTATAAGGCTTTTCCTAATAAGGTTTTTAATGAGGTAGTTAAGCAAAGCATAGAGAATAAAAAGTGAACATCTAAGAGGAGTATGTTGAACCAATTCATTTGTAGAAGTTTCACCTTCCTCGTCTTCCACCTGCTTACTTTCCTATGCATTTGCACACCATGTAAGGATGATTAACTTCCACTTCTTTCATGAAATTATGATAGTGGTAAAGTTCCACCTTGTAAGTCTACACTTAATGACTTAATAAGTGATTAAATCAATGTAACTCATGATTTAGTGGATGATTTATTCTTACAACTCTTACCCTTCTGTTAGTTTATATAAAGGGCTTATAACTTGTATGGATGTGAGAAGAAAAAAATAATAAAAATAAAACTCTTCATGGTCTCTTTGTCACCATTTGTCTCTCTTATGTCAAATTTCTTCTTCTTATTTCATCTTTTATGTTACTACAAAAATTTAATTATCAACCGAAAGGATTCAATCATCACAAATTACAATTATGGGGACTAAATTATCCAAATAGAAACTTTAAAAACTACTGACGCAATTTATCCTGTTTACAAACCTCGGCACGTATCCCGAGTTAAAAGGCTAGCCACATGAACGCTGACAAAAATATCCACGTAACCACAGCATCCCACTTTGAAGCTCATGTTGTTCCACGTGGCAAAAACCCAGCAATCCTAGGAAAAACGTGAACAAATAAACCCTTCCGCGCGTCTCCCTCTCCCCCAATTAAATTTTTCTCCTTCTCCCCAACTAAATTTTCTCAGTTTATCCAACCAAAGCACAGTGCCTCGTTACTGTTCTTTCTTTTTCTGTTTCTCTCTGTTTTCTTTTCTTCGCTCCCGATTGAAACGTTTCCTTTTCTGTTTTTCTTGACATTGGCTAATTTGGGTATTGACTATCGGTTTCAGAATTTCAGTTCATGCTCTTTAAATACGTGTACTCTCTGTTTTTTTTTGTTATGTTTGAGTAATGTTCGAAGAAATGCCACAAAAAACTCACGTTGCATTGCAGAATTCTATTGGGTTCTTTACTGATTGACAATGTTGTTTTCAAAATATTTTACTTCGGGGATTGAATCTTTGAGGATGAGTTCCTGCCATGATCTTCAAGTTTTGTAATGTATGTAGGAGGAATTGTTGGTGATGATAAGGTGTAAAGGCGGAATTATGGAACCTATGTGCGATTTTTGTGGAGGGGTGAAGGCTGTGGTTTACTGTAAATCAGATTTAGCCCGGCTTTGCTTCAACTGTGATGTATGCGTGCACTCTGCAAATTTATTGTCTCGTAGGCATGCTCGTTCTCTTTTATGCGATAAGTGCAATGCTCAGCCAGCAATGGTCCGGTGCATGGACGAAAAGCTGTCTCTTTGTCAAGGTTGTGATTGGAATGGCAATGGTTGCTTGAGTTTGGGGCATAGAAGGCAGACTTTAAATTGCTTTACAGGTTGTCCTTCTACAGCAGAGTTTGCAAGGATCTTGTCTTCGGCTCTTGAAACCTCTTTGATGGATAGCTTTGATGCTGGTTGGCCAAGTAATACATTGCCCGTAAATGAGAATTGCATTGTCTCTGAGCAAAGAGAAAGTAAAGGATCATTTCGGTCCGTAAATGAGAATTGCTTTTTCCCGGAGGAAAGAGGAAATAAAGGATCATTTGGGCCCGTATATGAGAATTGCATTGTCTACGAGTCCGAGCAAAGAGAAAATAAAGGATCAGTTGGGTTGGTCGCAACTGAGTTGAATGATCTAGAGTCCTGTCCCAAGCTTGAGCCTTGGTTGGAGTCATCTTCTGTGGTTCCACAGAATCCAAATTACATGTCCTACTCCTTTTGTAGAGATCAAGTAACTCTTTTCCCAGAGGAGACTAACATGCCATTGGTAATTGCTCCTTTTTTTTTTTTTTTTGGATATTTTCTTGAAATTCTTAACTTGAGTATACAAATAAAATTTGATACAAAAGAAATGTGACATCAGTGGTCTTAACATCTAACAGCAACATTCATCTTTTGCTTGATTTGTTGCAGGATTGTTCTGACATCAAAGATCTTAAACTTCCTGGCGGTGATGACATATGTGAAGGTCTCAGCATTGACAATGTTCCATTAAACTTTGGAACTGGTGATCAGATATTTGGCTGCTCGCAAGATCATCCTAGATACCAGCTCGAGGATGTTGAGACAGACTGCCTATTAAGGGAGAAAAACTTATCAGTTCCTGAATCCAGTGGTCCTATTTTGAATGCATTAGAGGTTTTTCTCTAAATTTAATTCAAAATCGATAGTTTTTCTCATAGATCCATCTCTATTAGATCTTTGATTTATATCTTTTTCTCTTACGTTTCTTCATATCAAATATATTGTCTCATAAAAAATTAATAGTATCTGCATGCAAGCAGTTCTTCATGCTATTTTGTGATTTGATCACTTAAATGATCTCGGCTTTGTAACTTGTCAGGCATCTTTGTCAGGACAGCAGGATTGGTTAGCTTTTCCATCCTCTGGGGTTGGTATATCAGCTAGTTTGACGCAGGCCATGTTCGGTAGTTCTAGTTGCACATTCATGAATCCTAGTTGCAATAGAAACATCAGTCTAGGATTTCCTTCTGGCCAAGTTCCTTCAAACATGTTGTCACTATCCAACATCAATGGGGAGAGCAGTGCTGCTGATTACCAAGATTGTGGACCGTCACCAGTATTTTTAACTGCTGACTCACCCTGGGAATTAAATCTGGAAACTAGTTGCCCACGAGCAAGGGATAAAGCAAAGATGAGATACAAGGAGAAAAAGAAAACACGAAGGTAGGTTTGTGCTTATTTTTTTTACATTCAGACTTAAAATAACTAGCTATTATTGTGCTCATGGTTTTATATACTAATCCTGCTTGTGAAAGCATACTCATTTTCATTATTGCCAATTGTAGGTTCGGTAAACAAATAAGATATGCCACCCGTAAAGCCAGAGCAGATACGAGGAAGCGTGTTAAAGGCAGATTTGTGAAGGCTGGTGAAGGCTGGTGAAGCATATGTCTATGATCCACTAGTAACACGCAATTTCTAAACCTGATTGCAAAGTTGTTTTCTCTTATGTTAAAAGATGAATCAGGAATTGATATAAGTTACAAAACTGTCTCCTTGCTGAATAAATGTGCATCAACAAGTTGATTTTGAAGACCTCTGGTACAAAAGAAAAATCAGTGTATTTTAGTCATCCTGTCAATGCTCTCAATATGAGCCCACGTTACTCTTTAGATAATTCAGTTGGAAATAAGTGAATTAAATTCAGAATGAAAATAGTGTTTACAGCTCAAAGTTTCTTCTAGAGCACTAAGGGAGATATCTTGAGTAGAATATAAATAGAATAATCGCACTACCGTGGAATAATGCATGAGCTTTGGTATTTTAATTTGTACCCTTTCGATTCACGGCCTAAGAGTCAAGGATCACCGACTCATTATTTCAAACAAAAGTATACATTCTCCCATCTTTTGTCAATAACACTGCTCTTGGTAAGTCACTTCCTCGAACAGTTGCTAATTTTGATATTCAATTACACTAAATTTTGCAGGTTTAGTAGTTATTCTTTTCAATGACAGAGGAATTAAGCTCTGGATTCAACCTTAATATTGATAGCTTGCTACTCTCTCTACTCTGATCTCTATACAGTTTATATTGCATTAGTTTTGTAGATGTTTAAACAAAACAAAATTAACTTGTATTCCTTTGCGCATTCTGTGTCAACTTCTATATGTGAAGACCAGTTCTCTTCATCAAACGAGCACGATTTATGTATGTCAAATGGCAGATTTTTTGGTGCTAACCAATAACCACCTTGAATTATTTGAGTTGTGAAAACCGGGCTAACAAATCTCACTTCCATTATTCTTGTGGCTGTTTAAACATACTTTTCTGTAGTACTGTTACATGCCCTACTGCTGGTAATGGTGCTTTTAACCCTAAATCACTCTACAAAAGCATTTGCTTGCTGGCCCCCAGATGAAGTTGACATAACCTTTTCGATGCTTCATTTATCTGTAAAACTCAGGAAAAGATATATTGGTTATTTCCAACTTGACCGATGAGCATCTAATCCTTTTGTTTCTGTGTAGGCAATGGAAAAGGATATACTGAGTATTAACAGTTTGAGAACCTTGAGACGACAAGTGACAACCTTAGGTTAATATTCTCTCGCCTCCTCCAATGTAGGCGCCCTCTTTCTGTTTCATAAAGCAAAATCCTCAACTACTAGTCAATTTTTCCTTCTTTTTATTTTTTCTTTTAAACCATAGCCTGTTTTTTTTTTTGGTGTGTTAGGTCCGTTTAATGAGATCGACAGTAATATGTAATGGTCAAATTAATTGCAATAAAGAGAATCTGTTTTTTTGCTTATTTTTGTGTACACGTTTCTTATCTATGGATGAAGCAAATTAATAGAAACAGACTTGAAGTTAGTAATTAAGGCCTATTTAGTATCGTTGTTGACCACTTGTAGCTCCTTTTTTGTTTTGATTGCCAAAAATGAGGTTAATACATGGAGATGAGTTCCCTGAGAAACAAAATTGAAGTTCAATATACCAGGTAGAATCATCTAGAAGTAAAAGTTCATCTATTTGAAATCTGGATTAGAACCGATGACTTGAAGTACTTCTATTTCTAGTTGCTAAGAGAAAAATGTTGGAAAATTTTTGGAAACCTCTGGTGGTTGTGAAATTTTGTGGTTCTTATGGATATTTTTAGCATCATATTGTTGTTATTATTCTCATATCATTGATAAAATATGAAGACTTTGAGGGCCATAAAGGAGGAAGATACAACCATAAAATTGCTCATGAGTATAACTGGTCGTAAACTATGTCTATGGACCACAACCACAAGGTCCACAACAACTAAACAAGTGAACATGAAACAACTGTTGCATCATATGGAAAAACAGTATAGTATACAATCGAGCCTCTAATATATGAATTCAAAATTAAGTATCTGATATTGATGTGTGAAACAACTATTGCATCATATAGAAAAACCTTAGCACATGTGTATAACATGGTTTGCTAAGGGGTTTTGATTGTTCAGCCTCAAATGTAGAGGGTGAGAGGATTTTGGCAGGAGTGTGAGGCTCTGCTGTCCCCTTCGCATGACTCTTATTTAATTTTCTTCTTTTTGACTGATATTTCTTTTCCCATTAAAAAAAAAAATAAAAAGGGAAGAGAGGAGACCTTAGCATTACTTATTAATTGTTGTAGGTTCTACAGCATGTTGGGTGAGATTTAGATGCCAAATGCATAACTAATCATCCCTAATGATTCTCTTCTTGAATTTTTTTTTTTATATCCAATAATAATAGATTATATAATAAGGTATAATACTCCTCTTTTCCTAAATTCCTCCCAACTTAGGATCTAAATCACTCCTTGGGTTGATTCTCTTGTTGCTAGCATTACTAACCGTAAACCCTTTTCTTTTCTCCTTTTGCCAAAACATTAGGATAAACCCTGTAATAGGTCCAAAAATGTAATGAAAATAAACTGCAAATGGATAGTCCCAAGATATTTTTTTACCATAGTGATTTTTTGCAATGATAACTTTTTAAATCAAAGAGAAAATTTTCTTATTACCTTAACCATAAATTACCTTTAAATTCTTACTGTATAAAAAATATATATTATTATTATGGGGTAAACTGAAGCAGCCAGAGGATTTGGAAAGAAAGAGGATCATATGGGTCATTAAACTAACCACTGGATGTGCAAAGAAAAACGAAAATGCATTAATGTCTGATTCAATCTTGTTTATAGATTCTAAAGATTGCATATTGAGATCCTAATAATTATCTTCATTATTCTCTTCTCATCTTCATGGACTTCAAGTTTCTGTAATCTTTCTTTTTTCCCCACTTTCTTCATACTACTTCAGAAAGCAAACTAACTAGAAACTTCTCCCATCATGATTGCATAAAAGAAAAAAGAAAAAAAATAAGAGGGTAAAATCAAAACAGGGAAGGATCAAAGAGAAAGAAAAGGAGTTTTGAGTTTCGTGGAACACTCTCTCTCAACGTCAGAATCACACCGCCTTCCTTGACTCTCCGACATCAAGCTAACGATCGTCGGCAGCACTACCTCCGTCGAAGCTCCGATGAGATATCTCTGGTGAGATTCTGACAGGAGTTACACAGGAAACATCGGATGTGTCTGAGCGCCAAGAAATTAGCCTGGTGGACCCATCTGTCACATTTCCGACATAGAAATGCATCATCGGCCGGACAATACAATGAAGCCCTCGAGTTGCAGAGCTCACACCGGACCAGCGACGGTAACAGTGACGATGAAGTACCCTGTTTCAGACAGGAACTAATGCCTCTGTTTCCCTCTGGAAATCCTCTGCACATTTTTGGAGGTCTATGGAAATTGCCGGTTAGAAAGTTTGGAAGAAAACTAAACACTGACCCCCATTTATTTATACGTCCAAATTTTCAGATGGAGAAAGGAGTTAGCAGTAAAAGACAGAAAAATGTGTTTTTTCATTGCAAACTTCTGCGATATTTATTAAAGTAGAGAAAAGGAATGAATGAGATTAGAACTTGCGGTGGAGAAAATGAGGTTGGTTCAGGAGAGATGGGTGTGATTAAGAAGAGAAAATCTTGAAGGGGATTCTGAATTTTGGAGGATTTTGAGGACAGTGGAGAGAAACGTGAGGAGTTTAGTCCAATAATTTTGATAAGAAGAAATAATTAAGGCTGAAAATAAGAAGATGCTTGAAGGTACCTCTAGTTCAGGTTTAGTGGAGTGTATGGCCCAAAATTAAAGTTCCGTTCTGCGATGATACCTCCACTTTAAGATGATTTGACTCTATGTCTTAAATAAAAAAAAACAAATTGGGTTTTCTTCTAGAAATTATGGATAAAGTAGATGAATATAGTCTCTAACTCTTTAACATAGATTGAACTAAGTGCTAATTCTCTTAATTGTTTTATGTATGAGCATTATCAGTTTAAGTTGTTTTTATTGGATTTAAGTCACAATTAATTATGTTATGGATGATCTTTTATAATTTACAATTTGAATTGCAAAATACTAGACTATATACATATAATGAATTTTATAATTTTCTTATTTAAATTCGTTATTTTCTTGCGAGTAATTTAAGAGGTGATATCTTTAAAGAGAATAAGATATCATGAGTTTAAGTTGTAATATGTATGTCAAATAAATAAAGAGAATAAAGAGGGTAAAAAGGATGAGAAAGGTATGTGTCTTATTGTAGAGCTCAAAAAAAAGATATGCAATACCTTTATTGAATTAAAAAGACTGCAACTGATATGCTAGATAAAGGAATTGATGTTTAACTAATTACAATAGTTGAATTGACTAATTGAAAAACTAGAACCAATCTAAATCTAAATGAAAATTTTGCTGAAGCTAAAGTCTGAGAGTTGTGTTAAATAATTGCTAGAATGGTAAAAAGTTGAAATTGTTGTTGAATCTTGTGAATAGAATAAACTGTATATTGCAATGCTTTGAATTTTCCTTTTTGTTGCACAAAGAAAACTTGTAACTTCCCACTTCCCCATTGTTGCAAAACATGGTTGATTTTTTTGGTTTAGATGTGTAGCTCAACAATTAACTTTATCAAAACATACACTAGAATTTGCCAACACTTTGCTCTTTACAAAATATTTGTCAATTCACTTTTACCAAATTTAGCTAACAATTCCTCCTAAAATATAACTACTATCTCTAATAACTTAAATAACATCAAATAATTAGGAGATAATTATCAAATATGTAAATCTAACTTAGTTTAATCGTAATTGCTTATTCAAATAATGTGACATGTGATGTCATTTAAAAGCTTTGCAATTTACGATAAAAATAGATTGATCCATAAACATCATTTGAATTTACACATAAATACTTCTCTTTAAGATGGTGAAAATGAATGAAGCAACATACGTAACTAAACATTTGGAAGAGTTATGTACCAAAAAATAAAAATAAAAAATTTGGAAGAGCTGGGGACCTAGTAATAACAATTAAAAATTAGGGTACCTAAGTATCCTAGAATCAAAGGTTTATGAAGCACCCACATAATTCTCCTCACTCTTTCTGTGAAACTAAAATTTAATTTCGTTCTTGGTCAGAAGATAGACATCCTTTATGTCCTTGTCCATATGTTTATTTAGCGTTGATGGAATAGAACACTTGTATAGTTGGACTGGAAAGCTTCTCGTGTCAT